CAGCACCAGGCAAATATGCAAGCAACATTTCAGTTAAGGTATTTGGTTTTCTTTTTTGACTTTTTTTAGGCTTTTTTACTATTATTTTTCTTTTCTTTTTTTTGTCTACTACGGTTTTTAGGCTTTGCTGAACGTGGGCAAACGTCAAGCAGCATTCAGGTACAACTTTTTAAAATTTAGTTCGGTATTTGCAAAGATCATTGTAAAAGTTCATTATAAAAAGTGTTTATTTTAAAAGTGAAATCCCTTTAACAATAAAGAACGCTCTTAGTTATTCTTTTTATGATACAATTGGTAAATTATAAGTTTTTTTTTCATTTACAGAATTATTTTATAAACTATATACAGTAGTATATATAGTACATGTTTATTAGTTATCATATTTATGTTTGAGATTTTTTATTACTAAACTTTTAAAGCCAATTTCTCATACACTTATATTAAGAATTTTGACGAGTTATCATGATTTTGGCCTGTAAAAATTTAAAATTATAAACATTATAAAAGTAAATGAATACGAGTATTTCTTTGAATTCAAAACAATAATATTAGAAACTAGAGGTTATGAAGTGAAGGGTAATATACTTTTTTAAAATAAAAAAGAACACAATTAAATAACGTTAGAAAATGATAATTTCGTTCTATATCTTCAATTTTATAATTTTATTATCATTAGAGTTTTTTAATTTGCACAAATTACCGTAATGTTTATTTCAATTAATCGTAGTACTTGTGCACGATCTCTATAGCTAGCTAATTACACTGAGAGAGATGTAAATCTAGTTTTTACTTGATTGAGCCCAAGATACGTATATTATGCCCGTACGTACGTACATGGCATTAAAATCATTATAACCTGCTTGGGTTAGTGGTTTTTATTAGTTAATTCATTGTCTCATGGGTCATCCGCTTTTTCTTGCCCATACGTATAACTTGTGAATATGATTATTATGATCACGCTATACAATCAAATGCAAGATTTTGCATACACCATTCTAGATGGCAGTTAACCATACACTCCGTTATGCACATTCAAAGACAGAACGGTTGACGAAGCTCACTGTGGAAGAATTCATTCAAAATGAAATTTTAAGTACTATTACATGCTGAAATAAAGGAAAAATTGTGGCTGATTAATGCGCCATTAAACTGGCGCATTCGGTCGTAACAAATAGTTACCTCAATACAGCTAAACCACTAACTGAGCTACACAAACAATAAAATGCAAAACACTAATGAATGTCACGCATTCATTTATAGAAATAAACACCCGCCCAAAATTCGATAGTGCATGAGATTAATTCAATATCGATGTGTATTAGATCCGCCAAAATTAACCAATTATAGACGAATTGCTTTATGTGACTAACCTATATTTTACTTAATAAAAACCTTTCAAGTAAATTCATAATTAAAATTTTGAATTTTACATAGTGAGTCATCATGGTGGTATCTAATTGAATAATACAGCTTCAGCGGATTGCGTAAAAATGAGTGTCATCTGCTAGGTACATACGTACGTAAATTGCTATTTGAAAGCAAATGCTTTTTCTAGCAGATAGCCCATATAAGGATGCCATATGTGATGTTACGTATAACAGTGTGTGACTGTTACGCCATTCTCATCATTTATGTGTATTTACATTATAATTTATTACTATTACGTAATTGAGTACAAGACGAACAAAAAGGAATAAAGAAATTATTAAGTGTTTTATAAATATATTAATTGAAATTCCTAATTATGTTCTACAGTATATAAACAAGTTTTCTCGGAATTGTTTTTATAAGCGCGTGTATTAATCTGTGTGGTTGTTTTTATCATGCATGTGGTACCCTTAATTAAAGACACCTCAAATCTATTTTCAGGAATGTAACGGATGACAATTGTTAAAAAAGGATATTTATATATATCAGAAGCAGTTTTCGGGACAAGTATTATTCCGGGAATATATATATCGGCAATTATAATTGCAATTTAGCCGTTTCAACTAGTTACTTGTAAATACTTAAGCACATACATGCAAAATACTAAAATAAGGTTTAATATGCATTGATTAAATGTTATATAAACTGACGTAATAAATTTACATCTCTCACTTTTTCTTTGAAGAAAAAAGTCAATTCTAGTTAAAGTTTCCATCATTCAATAAGTATTGCCTAATTTAATATATTATCCAATGTCTCAAGACGCAAATAAAGTTGAAAATACACCTCAACCCTCCTCTGAGCCTGATAATGTGGTAGAAAAGGTAGGAGTCTCAGAAATTGATGATCATAAACCAAAAAAAAAAAAATACCATCAATGAAATTCAAGTTTTATTTTAGTTTACACCCGAACATGAAGTTGAGGATGAGAAAGTAAAGATCTCCAAAGATAGCCATGAACCACAATATACTATGAATAAAACTCAAATTTTATTAGTTTTTGTTGGGTATGTGTTACAATTATTATTAAAGTTATTCCGATCAACTTTAAATGTAAAAATGTTAATTACTTGAATACATAGTCTTTCGTTGGCTATATTTTTGGCTGCTTTAGATCAAACTATAGTTGCAACTGCTTTACCGGCTATTGCATTAGAATTTAAATCTCTCGATGAAATCTCGTGGATTGGAACAGCTTATTTACTTACTGCGGTATGTTATTTCCCGTTTTTATCATGTGATCTAATTGATAATGGTTCAATGGAATTATGCATGATTTGGAAAATAGTTTCTGCACTATTCGACTTTCGGCAAACTTTATATCAATGATCAATGCGAAATATTTTCGGTGGTGCTGCAATGGTTTCTGCGTCATGTATATTACAGATAATTCTTATGGGCAATACAAATAGTGATATTTGAGTTGGAAATTAGGAAAATACAGTATCGCATTGATTAAAAGATCCGAGGTCTAAATTAAAATATCTATTCTATTAAAAAAAAATTCAAGTAAATGCATTATAGAAGGCAGTTTTAATTTTTAAAAAGAATTGTTTATGATTAATGGAATTTTTGGTATTGTAAAAAGGATATCTTTTAATCTGTGCGATACTGTAAATATGAATTTTATAATTAATTACGTGAATTTGGATCGTTCATAAAGTAATGCCCATAGACTTTCTGATAATAAAATCAATCTTCATGAAGTATATTAACTTCAATCTACTTTCTAAATATGTATCAATAGACCGCTTTCCAACCAACTTATGGTGCACTTTCAGATATATTTGGTCGTGTGAGTGTTATTATGATATTATGTTAGATAATATTTAAATTTCCATATTTTCATATAACAATTAAAACTCCGTATTTTTTATACAGAAACCTGTCTTTCTCACAGCAATATTTTTATTCGAGTTTGGTTCACTTTTATGTGGTGTATCCGTTAATATGGTAACTCTTTTTTTTTTTTTTTTTTACATTCCCTTATAGTCTCCTACATTCTCTTACATTCTCTTACATTTTAAACTTCATAGACTATGTTAATCATATCGCGTGCTGTTGCGGGTTTAGGGTAATTTCTTTAGCTTAAATTCAAATTTCAAATTTATTTTTTAAATGTTTAATAATCATTATTTTTTCGCGTCACAAAATTAATAAAATTATTAGTGGAGGTGGTCTTATAGGGTAAATTTCTTTTTTTTTTTTTGCTGGAGAATTTAATTATTTAATCTATCTAATCTTATTTTTATCAAATATTAAATTCTTTAGACTTGTATTGATTATTATTTCAGAAATAGTTCCGATCAAAGAACGTGGAAAATATCAAGGAATGATTGGTGGTTGTTTTGGAATCGCGTCAGTTGTAGGTCCATTATTGGGTGGTGCTTTTACGGATAAAGTCTCTTGGAGGTTTGTATTTATATAAAATTATTTGACTATTAATTAATTATAAATTTATCATTTTTATTCATATTTTTTAGATGGGCATTCTTTATAAATCTTCCTCTAGGTGTCATCACCTTTATCTCTGTTATCTTTTTATTGCGCCTTCCAACTCCTTCTGGTTCTTTATTGTCAAAATTATCGCGAATTGATTGGTGGGGTGCTCTTACTTTGGTTTCCGCAACTATTCTCCTGCTATTGCCACTTAGTTGTGGTGGCTCAAAATATGGTTTGTTTATCTTGAAAAACATATTCGATTCATAATATTTCTTTATTCTAAACACACACTAATTCTCATATTTTTTAAAAAAAATAATTCAGAATGGAATAATCCCATTATCATAGTTTTATTATGCTTAGGCTTTGCTGGATATATAATATTTGTTTTTATCGAAGCAAGGATCGCTGAACAACCAATTGCTCCTCGTAAGTTTTAGTTTTTCATTGTCATATAACTGCTTACCATATATCATTATTATTAATATTTTATTATAATTTATCATTTATTAGTTCATTTATTTAAAGACATTAAGATAGTTTCATGTTTTATTGTAAATCTCTTTCATGGAATGGCATTTTTTGCCCTAGTATTCTTTGTACCACTTTATTTTCAAGTTGTAAAATCTGAAACCGGTACCTAAATAATTTAATTCTATTGTACTTTATATCTTTAATACCATTAATATTGTATTGCTTATAAACACTTTTATTATCCTACAGCTACCACTTCAGGTTTAGAACTTATTCCTCTTATCCTAGGTGTAGTTGTTATGGCCATCTCCTCAGGTCAACTAGTTTCAAGGACTGTTTTTTTTACTTACGGTACACTTTGTGTTCTCGGAAGTATTTTAATGGCTGTAGGATCTGGGTTAATTAGCACGTTTTCAGCCGATACAAATAGAGGTCAAATAATAGGTTATTGTATCATTGCCGGTCTTGGCATTGGTTTGATTATTCAAATTACTGTATTAGCCGGACAAGGAATTGTAGAACCTAAAGATATTGCTACCGTTACTGCATTATTGGCATTTTTCAGAACAAGTGCGTAATATATTTTATATTTTTTATCATTATCCTAAAACTAAATAGAATTTTAAAATTTTGATTAATTTTGTATTATCTTTTTTTCATAAAGTGGGTGCAGTCTTTGGTGTAGCTATTCTGGGCGCAGTTTTTAACAATGTACTTACTGCAAATTTACCCATAGAATTTCGTGGATTTATACATGGTCTTGGTCCACCTGGGACAGGCTCTGGACAACTCCCTAATTCTGTACTTAACGCTTTTGTAATAGCTTTGGATACTGCATTTAGAGTTGCAATTGTTTTTTCAGGATTAACTCTTATATCTTCATTACCTTTGATACCTGTTAGGCCACATAGAGATAATTCTAATAAGCCAGTTCTAACAGAGATATAAATGGACATATTTTAATATTTATGTAGATGTATGAAATTAAAGTTAGATTATTATTTGAATATTTTTTTTTTGATTTGTAATTTCAGATAACGTGTCCTGTTAATGTACTGCATGTAATTTTTTTAACACTGTATGTGATTTTAATTATAATGATAATTAATTATGGTTAATTAAAGAATAAAAATGTAACTACGTATTATAATCCCAGAAATTTAATTTATATATCGGTTTATTTATTAACAATTTAATTATTGACAATAATTTAAGTATGCAATGTCTAATATAAGAATCTAAGTTGGTTCTGATAAGCTAATTTTATTTAAAGCATTTACAGAAAAATGATTAATTTTATACAAAAATAGTTATTAAATGTATTGGTTGGTTTGATTGAGTAAACAAAAGCAATTACTTAATATATTAATCATAATTAATAAATTTTATGCAAAGCAGATAGTTATTAAACATAATGGGATAGTTTGACCTAGTGAGCAACAGCACTTACTTAATTACAAAAAAAATATTTGTATTAATTATTTTAAGTATAGTCGCTCAACATCCATTACTAGAGTGGTAAGTTGAATTTCAATTGAACTAAACTTAAATCGCATGCTTGCATAATAATTGCAAATTATGGTCATAATACATATAGCCTTTAATGTAATTTAGAAGTTTTAACAATCATGCACTGAACTTCAGTGTTATAAGCTCAAAAAATTTTTATTGACGCAAACGCAAAAAATATATATATATACGGAGAGCGCTGATATATGCGCAAATTTAAATCTATATACGCTGCGCCTACTGCACGGATCCAATTTACATTATTGCTGAGCTTTAATCAATTTAAAATCTTTCATTATTAAAATGATAAAAATCTCTAAAAATGCATTAGTCTAACATTTTAACTTAAATGACGAAACTAAATTTTAAATAAATTGACTTTGATCAAGCAAGTTTAAATATATTTGGGTTATTTATTATAAAATGATTCTTCTGTTTACAAGACTATTTAAACAACAATTCAACTACTAAACAACATTTCTACTCTCGCATCTAGCGATGTTACCCAAAATATTTGAAATATTCAACCGATTTGATGAATAGTATCACATTGTTTCGTAAAGTTAAACCTTGCTCCATGTTTCTTTTACGATGCGAATAGCGATGTTATCCATGTTTACTTTGGATACGAGTGGCAATGTTATCCATGTTTCCTTTGGGATGCGAGTAGCGATGTTATTCATATTATTTGGGACGTTCCAAACTATGTGATGAATAATATACAGTACAAATTATTTGTTATTGCCGAGGCGAAGCAAATGATCTGATCTTAAGGTTTAGTAATGATTTAATCGAAAATGTTTTATGTAGTAAGAGAATTTAAAGATCGAATGCAAAACACACTTCCGATCCTTTACAAATGCCTCAATCATTCTATGCTGTATATGTTAATCGTGATAGACGCAATTATTGTGCTTATTCACATTACAGAATTGCAAAAATCAGTCAATCATAATAAAGCCCGCCATGCTAGTGTAACGATTTTTCAAAGAAAAATCGTGACTAAATAGCATACGGGTATATCGAGAATGTTTATTGTGGCTAAAGTCTGGATTATAAGAATATTGTGAGGCTTCTGAGCTGGTGGCGGGGGCTTAGAAGTATAGATCTGTCCCAATATTTATTCCATTCGTCATGTTCGTTTATTATTATATTGTTTTATTTTATAGTTGTTATATGGCGTAAGGATTAGAGTAAGTGAGGACAAAGAAGGTATAGGAATTAACTATTGACGTAAACTTAGGTCTGTTGTAAGTCTCTTATACGTCTCGAACGTATAAAAGAGCTGTCTTCTCGTTTTTCAAGTAAATCTTTAGACTTCGATGTCTTGGTTATGAAGGATATAAGAAGAATCGATATCTCAATTGTTCTTAGCTTTAGTGACGTACAGTATTTAGTGTTGTTTAATTATTCTAACCGTTAAGTGACTTAACGATCATATTACCTTTTTTCTTAACGAGCATATTGCTTTTTTCTTGGAATTATCATATTACCTTATAGGTACCGACCTTTAATATTGATAGTACTGATTAACCATCATAACTACTGATCAATTTAATTACGATAATTTAACCACTTAATTGATTACCGATAGATATAATTAAGTATCCCGATCATTATCGGATTAATTACGTAGTCCTACGTGCACAAGCTATTACTACTAGGAAATCGGAATCTAATAGAGGTCCGAAGCGAAAAATGCATTTACTGTATGTTAAAATCTTCACGTGTAACCTAGAGAACTATCTACTGTTAATTGAGTTACACTGACTGCTGATCAACAAGGGAACCTTCAATTCTCAATTCTTATTGGATGTTTCGGACATACATTGCATTCAACTTTTATCAAACAAAGTGAGTCCTCGCTACGCTTCGGACAATAATTGACCGTGTATAATTGAATTGTTTATTATTACAGCTTTAATATATAAGTTTACTATTGGAGCTAAATTGCGCCGATTGTATAGAAACTTTCCCAAACAATGGTAACACTAGCTACATTGTTTAGTGCGTCGAAAGTACATCAGGGGTGCTTCGAGTGTAACCCAGGTTCGCATAAGGAGGACTATTTCCTACGTAAAGAAAACAAAATAAAATTTACAATCATACTATATAATTGGAATTTTACTTCTGCAGTGTAGATTATGCGAACCGACGCTTCCTGATGCACTTTCGACGCACTAAACAAGGTAGGGCATTTGTTCAAAATCGAAAAAGACCTCTGCTGCTAGTTACACTAAGTGGGAAATTAGAGTTCTACAAATATACGTACGTACGTATGTACGTACTGATTTCTGTTAATATTAGTCCGATTTAAATTAGACATTAATAAAATGAAAATGATACGTATAAGCCCCCTGTGCGAGAATCTAATTTTGCCATAAATAGATACTGTATTTATTTTCAAATGAGCGATGTATCACCTTTATTTCGTTTTCCAATAAATTTGATATGTTGATTTTTTCCGTTGAAAAGTTTATTTATTTCGTTAAGTGGGAGTCTTTAAACATCCCATTTCATTTTCCGATTTCAAAATTTTGCCACTTATTTCGAAATACGTTGCTTTCTTTTAATTCTGAAACCCAAAATACTTGAAATTAAAAATGAAATTGGCTACATATTATCTTTACACGATATTATTTTATTCCTCCTCAGTTTTAGTTTACGCAGATGATTCTGATTCTGACCCAAATCGTAACATTTTTGATCAATTAATCAATACACTCGTTCCACTAATAATCATTTATTTTTTCGAAGGAAATCCGAAAAAAATAACAAATAAGGGATGGTTTAAAGTCAAACTTCTTTTTGATGATATTTTATTTTTATTATCCCTATATATTTTACCGACTACTGTGATGTTTAAACACAGTGAAACAACCGAAATTCCAATCTGGATTATAATACTTTATGGAATAGCTACCTTTATCATTGCAATTAACATAATATTGATAAGAATTGTTGGATTAGTTGGATTAATGAAGGATCTTTTTTATTTAACCTCTTATGGCGTTTCAATATGCATATCTCATACAGTTTCTGATATTTGTTTTATGTTTTATTCTCGAGATGTTTATTTAAATACATTATCAACGATATTTATTTATTTACATGCTGTTAGCGTAATCGCTACCGTATCTGAAGCATTAATGATATTTATTCTCGCTCGGATCAACTTTATTTAACGATGAAGATACATATGGGAGTGTGCCCCACGCTGCGGTTCTTGGCGCCATGTATATACTATACATAAGCTATAATTTAACAAGACATTGCGCATTGGTCACGTGACGAAGACAAGAGAGAATCGAAACTTGGGCATGTATGTGATTTGATTTTTTTTTTTTTTTTTTTTTTTTTCCGATTCTTTCACTCCTTCCGCTCTTTCCACTTCCTCCATATTTTCTGTTTTTTCCGCTTC